CCTACCTCATTGCAATGGGAACAGACCCAGAGCCCAGCATGAGGAACAAAGCTGACCAGCAACTGGTGGAGATTGACAAGAAGTACACAGGATTCATCCATGTGAGTTGGTGTTTAATGTCACAGATTTAAAAAAAAAAAATTGTCCTGTCTTGTCACTTATCCCAGCTCAACAATGAGTAATTCTAATACATCCCTTTCCCTCTGGTGACCTTTACCACAGAATGTGCAGCAGATGATCACTTAGTCATCCAGCAAAATCTTATCGACAGTGATGGAATGTGCAAGTTGACCCTTAGATTGATGTGACTTTAAAATACTGACAATACATATGAATATGTCAACGTGAATGAGATACAAAAATGCAAAAAGAGTTGCGGATCTCTTCCGAGGTCATGTTTTATAGCTGCTTTACTGAAGTGGCTTCGATTGATGGCCAGTCGTCCATCACTAGGATTATGCATGCTGAATGCATCACAGATTCTACATACAACAGTTTTCCCATCAGAAGAATGTGGATGGAACTTTTGTAGCGCTGAAGAAACAGTGTAACATGAATTTTGTTTTTTATTTTGTTGGCAAATTCTCGTGGCAGTGACTGTCTCAGCAGTTGCCAGAAATGCTAAGTGTGTAACACTTCTCTCACAACATATTGGATCACAGATGAAGGCAGTCGCTGGGATGAAGATGTCGTACAGTTTGCAGCAGGCCATCGCTTCGTCTCGTAAGGCCATCATAAGAGGCTTCAGACAGGATGAGACCCACTCAGCACTCTGCTCCCATCTCTTCACTATGATCCGGGGAAACCGGCAGCATCGGAGGGCTTTTCTCATCGCACTGCTGAACCTCTTTGATGACAGTGCTGTGAGTTAACCTGCGCTCGTCTTAACACGTCTTGCGCTTTGCTAAGCGTAAAGTGACATTTCCTGATTACCCAAATGCCAAGTGCAAATCCACCTTGTGTTGTTTTTTTTTTTTTTACACATTTCCTGGCAGTGTGTCTTGGCACGAAATGTATGAAAATGTGTAAGTGATTTGTGTGACTCAGAGATACGACTGGTTTTAAAGCTGTTAAAGATGTTTGTATAAAGAAACAACAGACGCTGTGGGGTTGAATCCTCGACCTTTCTCACTTGCAAATTTAACAAGACTAAGACTTTTTGACCACACATGAATACTTAAAGTCTAATTAGTGAACACTGCAGTGGGAGTTTGTACTAGGCACTGACTCTTAATCACACTCTTCCCTTATTTTCTTTCTTTCTGCAGAAGACGGAAGTAAACATGCTGCTGTTCGTGGCAGACAACCTTGCTTGTTTCCCATACCAGAGCCAGGAGGAGCCTCTCTTCATCATGCACCACATTGACATCACCCTGTCTGTCTCTGGCAGCAACCTGTTGCAAACCTTCAAAGAGGTAGGATGACATTTCTTAAAATAGCCTCGATCTAAAATGTTCTTTTTGGAAAAGAAATGAGGTTTGAAATAAAAGTCTTAGAATAATTAGTACCAATATGGATTTTTATTGAACTTTCTTTCCTCTCTGTCCAGCTTCTGCTAAAGGAGCCGAGGCGCAAGGAGAAAAAGGTAAAAAAGGAGTGGAAGAACACGTCGGACGGGGAGGACGAAGAGGAAAAGATGAACTGCGATTCTCCCAGGAGTGACGATGAAGAGAACGGCAACAGCGATGAAGACAATGACGACGACGTGGTACGGCGGCCCAAGAAGTCAAGACGACCTGTTGCAAACTCAGAGAGCTCAGAGTCTGAATCTGATCTCGACGATTTGGACGTGGAGGATGCGGAGAAAGTTATGAGGCTCCTCCCGGATAACCCCACAGGTCTCTTGGACTTTGCGAACGCTGTTCAGGGCATCCTGCTTCTGCTGGTGCTCAAACAGCATCTGAAGAACCAATATGGATTCTCTGACAGGTAAGGTCTTTAATCTTCTTCAGCCTTTATCTATATAGACATATAGACATTTGTTATTGTGGATTCATTCCAATTCAGACCTTTGATGAAGTTGGGAATCCCTTGATCTCTTTAACTTAAAAGTGTTTTGTTTTTTCAACAGCAAAATCCAGAAGTACTCTCCAACCGAGTCAGCCAAGGTGTACGATAAGGCAGTGAACAGGAAAAGCAACGTTCACTTCCACCCACGACAAACCATCGACTTCATCTCCAACAACATGGCTCACGCCTCGCTGACAGACGATGTAAAAAAGCGGATAGTCAAGCAGTACCTAGATGTAAGTAACAACACTTCATCGTACTTGCTTGCAAATGTTTTGTGCAGATCATTGACTGCCAGTCAGTCTGTAGGTGGGTTTTAGTTTCTTTTTTTTCAGTCCTCTCACCAGTTAGTTACATCAGTATTTAACTGGAATGCCATTTGTAAGTATCTGAATAAAATCCTGCTTTAAAAAATAAGCGTTTTTAGTCTGGACCTTAAATTTGAAATTAATAAACTTGGCCAGGATTGGCTGATTGCATTCAGTTTAGCATGCAGACATGTGTCTCTGGTTCTAGCAGGAGCATTTCTTCCAAAAATAACAACATGAGCATGACAGACTCGATTTGTTTATTACAGAGCACATTGTGCAGCTGTGGAATATGTGTGTTGACATCATTGAAGAGTTACTTCAGCTGCATTTGGTTCTTGGATGTTTCAACAGATGATGATTGTGAAACTTCCTTTAAAAGTCAGTTTCTCATCTTTTCACTGCCCACAGTTCAAGGTTCTGATGGAACATCTGGATCCAGATGAAGAGGATGAGGAGGGAGAGGCATCTGCCAGCGCGAACATCAGAAACAAAGCCATAAACGCCCTACTGGGAGGCTCCGGCCCCATGTCAGGACCCAGTCCGCGAAATCAGGCAGGACCAGAGACGGATGATGATGATAGCGATGGTGACGAAAGGACCCCGGGGGTGAGAGGGATTGATATGCTCCCTGTTTGTTTGTATGTATTTGTCAGACATGTGGGAAACTAACGCAACATTTTTTTGTCTTGCCTGCAGTCCTCTCGAAGGTCAAGGCGAGCAGGTGACTCCTCGGATCCCGGCCGCATGAGCGAGACAGTGGATGCTATGGACGTGATCGCCCTTTGCTGCCCCAAATACAAGGACCGGCCGCAAATAGCTCGAGTCATCCAGAAGACCTCCAGTGGATACAGCATCCATTGGATGGCTGGCTCCTACTCGGGGCCCTGGGCGGAGGCCAAGAAACGCGATGGCCGCAAACTGGTGCCTTGGGTGGACACTATTAAGGAGTCGGACATCATTTACAAGAAGATTGCCTTGACCAGCAACCACAAACTGAGCAACAAAGTAGTACAGACTTTACGCTCACTGTATGCAGCGCGGGAAGGAGGGGCTAGCTAATGGCTCCCGTGTGGTGTTTTTTTTTTTTTTTTTTTTTTCCTTTTTTTTTTTTGTTCCCCCGCTCCATTTCTACTTTATCAAAATCCTCCTCTTCCCTGCTCCTCCTCCTCCTCCTCAACCTGCCACCTCCAACGACACAGCCAAACTTCACTGGATTCCTACCCTCCCCCTCGCCTTCCTCATTTTTGTAAGAAAACACAAGAGGGCAAGAATATTTGACACTACATACTTTTACATGAGTTATTCTTGCAAAAATGACACAAAACATAAGACTTATATTAGAGGGACTGCTCATGTTTTGTTTGTGTACAAGTTCAGAGGATAGAATCCTGAAGGCATTAAAGGAATAATTCACCCAAATTATCCCTTAAAAGGCTATCAGAAAAGAGACCTGGAGGGAAATGTTTTGTCAACATTGTTGTGGGAGCTCCTTCGCTGTTGTGCAGCAGATTCTAGTCGCTCATTTCTACTCCCACTGTATCATAGTTTAACACGACAAAAAACTAAAATGTTTATATCTCTGAAGACAAAAAAGCTGTAAAAAAAGAATAAAACCTTAAGTGAATGTTGGAAATTAGTCTTTTTGATGTTCTTATTAAAGTGTTTTTGGAGTTTATTATACTACTAGCACCCTGATGGTTTTTCCTTTTAGCTTTTAGATATTTGAGAAAAAAAGGAAGAAAAAAAACAGAAAAAATAAGAATTTTTATTTTTGTTCACTTTTATTTGTCCATGCTGTACAATGGCAGAGTCCTCTGAATATAATTTATTCTATTTCGAACTACGCATGCAGTATATGTGGCCTATTGCAGGAGGATATTTTGTAAATGTAGATTTTGTTGTATTAGGTCACCCTAGTAATAAGAGGAAAAGGGGTCCATGCCCTTTTGGTGGAACAAATACTGCAATAAATTTTCTACTTCTCTTTGTCACTTGTCTGCTCAAAGTGTTAATCTGATCTTTTCATTTTGCAAATTGAAGCAAAGTATTGGACCTGGATACTGTTAAATGTAGGGTTGAAATGACCAAGAGGATTTATGATGTGAAGGGAAATGATGCCAGAAAACTTAAACGGTAACATTTCTGTCAGTAGATGTCACAACAGACAAGAACAGAGGTACAGTCATGATGTGGTTTTAGTTTATTCTGTAGGACACTATCATGTAATACTGTCTACTACGTTGGAGAGTCAGGTTACACCTCCAGTCTGTCAAATAATAATAGGATTATTAGTCAGAGGTTGTGTAATAGGAAAAGCTTTGCCAGAGGACTCCTTCAGCATCGTCAATATTATATTTGTGCAACTATGTGGGACACAGTTAATACACGTTTTTGTTTTGTTATTGCCTTTTCTTAAGATCGCTTTCAAAATTACAACTTCAAGTTAAGACATTTACATGTAATCTTACCGCTTGTCCTCCAGCGTGTCTTGAATGAGTCATTGGCGTATTAGACATTCTGAGCCCCGCCGGTTGGTGGCGGTGTTGCACCAACTCGTTGGTTGACAGCCGCCAATTAACACCGAAGAAGAAGAAGAACCCGAAGGCCTCCGCTGTCGTACGAGTCGAAGCGAAACATGATTGAACCAAACGGCTCTCCGTAGTGACGGTAGTTTTGGCGGGGTTTGCGAATATTTTCGGATGTTCGGTTAGTTTGAAAACATTAGTGACCAGCCTGCGGGAAAAAATGGAGCGGTACGTGTAAAATTCTACAGAAAAGCACTTTTTTTTCTCGCAATACTGAAAACAGTTAGAAATGTAATGTTTGTCGTAGTTTGGTAACGCCGCTAGCAGCTAGTCGCTCTTATTGTTGTCTGACGCCCGCTGCCGTTAATTTAAAAGACGTCACCAACCACAGCAGATAGTTAACGACTGCTGTACTTTAAGACACCGATTTTTTTTTTTAGATTGAACTTGAATGCTACTAATTAGTCTTGTTGAGTTATCTGAAGTTAGCGTCAGCACGCTGTATAATTATCGGTAGATAGCTAAGCAACTACATAACTTGACGTTAGCTAGCTGTAGTCATACTCAGTGACAGTCGTTTGTTAATATAGCATTGTGGCACTAATGTGGAGTTTTGTGTGTTTTGGGAGACATTGCAGAGCAGTAGAATAATATGAATAGAGGATGTGTTTTTCTTTTTTTGTAACATCTTGTGTCCAGTGGAAGGATGAGTCGAGCAACCGGCAGCAGACCATCGGATCTGCCGATGCGAGTGCAAGACAGCAACAGGATGAGCATGGTGTACACAACGCCCCAGAGGTCAGTTTAACACATCGAATGCATTTAGACACGATCATTAGTCAGCAAAGATACTGCTTTCCTTTACTGTGTGCTGTGTCTACTTTTGTATTTGTGAAATAGTGATTGCTATGAACAAATGCTAACCACACCCACACAACAACAACAACAGAATTTGCTGTTATCAAAGGGCTGAATCCAAAATATTTGACTGAGACTGAGGAATATACTGGATGCACACACTTGCTGTTCCTTATTTGTGTAATAACTATGGCTTTAGTTTGTTTTTGACATGGCTTACATGTATGGAAACATTATTTGTGAATATTTGATGACCTTTAATTAGTGTAAGCGTTTTCAAATGTGAAACAACCACACTCATTTATTAACAGTTTTTTGTCTTTACAGCAAATTTGGAAAGCTCAGTATACCCAAACCCCAGTCTGGGACTTCTGAGAGGCGGACCAGCTTCTTTGGTGCCCGGTATGTGAAAAATATTGTAGAAATGAACAAAATGGTATACCAGTTTGTCTTACATGGAAGTGTAAAAACAACAATATTCATTAACTTGATGTAAGGTACATTGTAAGATAAAACACAATTCAGAGTGTGAACCTTACACAGTGTATCTCTTCTAAGCATGAGACCAAATGAACCACTTCTATATTGCAGTAATTTGGATGCAAATTAACATTTTCTCACCAATTAACAAAATATGATGTTTGATTTGTGGTATGCTGATATATTGAATGCAGGACTAGTGGAGCTGGCATGCCTCGCAACAGCACCATGTCAGGGTTTGGAGGAACTGAGAAGATCAAAGATGCCAGACCTCTGCATGATAAATCTTTTGTTCAGCAGTGTATTAGGCAGCTGCATGAGGTAAGACACTTTATTTCTCAGTCTTAATGCCCCATAGCGATTGTGTCTAAAAGCATTGTTGTCACACCACTATGTCTGATGGACACGTTTACCAGACAAAGATCTAAAGGTTTATGGTTAGGTTGTTGAATTGTAGCAGTATATGACAAAAAGAACAATCGCAGGCAGATAAGATGAAAGTGTTATGTAAAAGTAAATGTGGCTTAGTGTACATGTCAGTTTTAATACTTTTCTTATTTCCTCAAGTGATTGTGCAAATGTAAAAATCATTATATTTTATGTCTGCATCTACCATTAAGCCATCTTAATAAGAGTGGGCATAATCTAATAATCTAATAATTCAGGAATGATTTCATATTCTCTACAATTGATTTTGAGGATATATTTGCATTTGCAGATCGCCTAAATTAATTTGAAAATATCTACATGTTAGATAACAGCAAAAGTGCAATATTATGCATCCCAAGTGAGAATCCGTACTTTGGTCCAACCAGATTTTCTCTCTTGTATTTTTCTAGTTCCTGACAGAGCAGGGTTACCCAGGCACTTTGTCCTCCAAGACCCTCCAGTCTCCCTCTACCAAGGAGTTTGTCAAGATGTTTGAGTTCATTTACCGCCAGCTCGACCCAACCTTTGAGATGCCAAACTCAAAAGTTGAGGAGGAGATTCCAGCTATCCTCAAAGCTTTGAGGTAAAATGTTGTGTTTTACAGCCTTCAGTGCATGTTCTAATGTAGAAAGCAATTGCTAGGCTAGCTATTTATATCAAACTGCAGTTTAGTCCCTCTGAGTTATAAGGCTGGATGAAACTATTAAAGACTACAGCATATAACAGAATCATGAACACTGTACCTTACCATAAGTTGTGAGCCTCTTTGTTGTCTTCTGTATTTGAAGAAGCATTGCTGACTGCCAGTCTTTACTTCTCTCCATGCTTCTTGTTTCAGATATCCATTTGTTCTCTCAAAGTGTTCAATGTACTCTGTCGGAGCTCCCCATACCTGGCCCCAGGCCCTGGGTGCTCTTATGTGGCTGATTGATAGCGTCAAGGTGAGAAACAAACACTGTATAAATGGAGTCACATTGAACCGTCTAAACTGTGTCTAAAACCCCATTAATTTTCACAGAAGGCAAAAAGCAACAAAACAAAAAAACAGTAAAAGTGTAATTTTTGTTTAACGAAATTGGTTGAACTATTGTGTTTTCCTCATGTCATGTGTCTGTGTCAGATCAACTGGAGTTTGAATAAGCAGGACCTGCTGTTCAGTGACTTCTGTGAAGACAGTGACAGTATTGAGGAGGGAGCCGAGTATAACAAGGTACTCTAACTTCTTTAAACAGCAACGCAAGGCATAACTACTATGAAATAATACATATATATATATATATATACATATTTGCATTATTTCAATGTCCTCTTTCACTTTGTTCTTGTGCAGCTCTTCCTGGACTACACAGCTGAGACATACTCCAAGTTCATGCAGGGTGATGACACATTTGAGGATGAGGATGAAACCTTCCTAACTAAACTAAGTAAGCACTGCATCACAATAAAATTCTGTTTATTGTTTCAAAATTATGAATGGATTTTTGTGTATAGTCAAACATAATGTTATCCCAGTTAGTATCAATTTGCATATATCGTTTTACAGTCAATTTAGAGTTTCATCCATAAAAACAAGGATTGTGTGTTTGTCCTTACAGAGAGGCTTTACAATGTGGACGAAGCCCTGCTGGCCTCAATGGAGGAGAAACACAGAATACTCAGTAAAGAGGTTGAACAACTGGAGAAGGAGAGTCAGACCGTAAGACTTTGTATTGACATTCACATGTGTATGACAGATTTTAACGTCTGAATATTTGCATCATTATGTACAGTGAGGGTGATTGTACTGTATTAATTCTAAGTGGAAGCAAAGGAAACCTGAGTAATGTCAACAAAAAATGCTGCAAAAAATGAAGGCGAAATGGACATGTATATGACTATAAGAGGTGCAAATGTTTTTTTTAACTGCAGCTGAACCATCTGTCAGTCATCTGAAACATCCTCCGTTTGAGCAACAATATATAAGACAGATTATTTTCTCCTTCCTCCTGGACAGGACCGTCTAATGACCAAGAGAATGGAAAAGGTGAAGCTGCAGGCAGACCTCAAGAAACTCCAGAGTTACCGAAGCAGCCTGGAGACTTTTAAAGCCAACCTGGAAAACAAAGCTTCAGAACTGAGTGATGAGCTGGAGACCACTGGTACATATGGGTGATATTTAGTTTATTTAACATCGTCAGACAACCAGATCTTTGTCAGGATGCACTGGATAATTTGTAAGCCTGACATCTGGGTTTATATTTACAATAAAGTCTTTACAGTAACTGGAATTACAAATTGTCAAGTTGTTTATAGGGTTGTGCACACTCAGCACCAACATAACATCTAGTTCTGGACTGGACTCATGTCTTGGCTCAGATCCTCTCTCAGTTTGAGTCCCTGTTTAGAAACATTCCTGTTTTTAATTAATAAGCCACTGGAGACCATACTTTACAGTGTCTTGAAACCGCTAACGGCAACGACTGTAAAATCCAGTCTTGCTATCAACTGCTAAGTATACAGTGTAAAGTCACTACTGAGCAACACAATACTTTACTTGTAGCTACACTGGTTTAAAGTATGACATGCTGTGAATGTTTCCAATCAGGTCAGAGGGTTTGATCTGATTTCATATACACCTACATGTTACTCTCTGTCATTTTTCAGTCAGTCATCTGGAAACTCTGAAACATGAAAGAAACGAGCTGCAACACCTCCTGCAAAACCAGAAGTTTACTCCAGCTGACGTAGAGAGGATCAACAGAGAGAAGAGGGAACTCCAACAGACCATCTCCAGTCTCAGCAAGTCTCTTGAGGATGCTGAACAGCACAAGTGGAACGAAGAGATTGCTTTTGCCAAAATGAAAGAGAAGGTACTGTATTTGTACAAGCCAAGGGGAGCAGCCTTAAGCACATCTGGTTAGGTGGTTTTGAATTATTTTCGTAATTTAAGGATTATATTTTGTTATATCTGGTTTATAGTCAGTTGGTTTCTCATCCAGCGGCACATATTTCTGACCCATCATTTTACTTGTTTCTTTGCTTCTCCTGTGTCTTTCCATCCTTTTATTCCCTTTAATTCCAGGCGGAGTTGAAGCTGGCAGAGTACCACAAGCTGGCACGTAAACTGAAGCTGATACCACTGTCGGCAGAGAACGCCTGTGGTCACGATTTTGAGATCAGACCTTTTGAATGCGGGCCTGGCAGCATGGTTCAACACAAAACACAGATACAGGTACTTAGAGCTCATGATTCTTTCTACACAAGTATGTGGATTTCTCATAGTTATTAGTTCTCAATTCAACATGAATAAGACTAGCTTACACTGCCACACACTGTACGCATTTAGTTGCAGCCTGGACGTGCATCTTCTTGGTTCACACGGCTGCTTTCATGAATCTGGGAATTTAATCAGTCATGATGCTTTTGTTGGAGGTTGCTGAAAGTCTGTTGTATAATTGTGTATTATGATAGAGTGATACAGTTTGTGTAGTTAGTCTGATTGGTACTGTGTGTTGCAGATGCTCCTGAGAAAGCTGATCAGTGATGTGGAGGAGGACAACAGTCGGTTAACCAACACCAAACTCAGTCTGGAGGAGTCTTGTGAACAGGTAAGGACTGTATTATATATGTTACCAGAAATATTTCAATGAGTAGCAACAGGCACGTCTTAGCCCAGTGGTGTTGCTGCGTTTGTAACGTTTGTGTGTATGTGTGTGTCTTTCAGGTTAATTCTAACATAATGGACAAGTCCAACGATATGAAGCAGCTGAGAGAGCAGATCCGCAAGCTGGATGAACGGTTGGATTGTGACATGCAGGTATAGTCCATAGTCTGCATCACGACATAGAAAACACAGTGACTTCGTACTTGTGGTGCTTCATATGTGTGTTTCTGTACAGGAACTCGCCCGAGAGGAACAGGATTGGGCAGTAGAGATGGAGTCAGTGGAAAATCACCGCAAACTTCTCGAGAAGAAAGTGAACTATGGATATGACGAGGCTGTACAGCAACTGAAGGCGGCACAACAACAGTAAGCAATGGCTGTGAAAACACTGCTTTTTTCCTTAATATCTCTGCCTCTGTAAGTAGCATATTCATGAAATGGGGCTCGTTGTGTGGGCTTCCTTGGGGTCTTTTTTACTCTAAGTCTAAATGATGATTTGTTTTAGAATAAAATGCTTGTGGTCCTCTCTTCCTCAAGGTACCACCTCGTGCTGCAGGAGACTAACGAGGAGAGGCGAACGGTAGCCAACAACCTGGCGTCTGTATTTACCACCGCTGCTAACCACCTGTCCATCACAGAGGTAACCCTCCTACAGCTCCATGTCTGTCTCTTGCACAATGAGAAGGAATCTGCATCTCTGAAAATATATTTTTAATTTAGAGGTGTGAGCATCTACACACTTATCTGAACACAAAGAATTAACTGTACAAGAGAGCTAAATGCTAATGTGCTGTGAAATTAAGTGTTTTGTGCTTTTCTTCAAGTGCAATCATCAGAAATGATTTTGTTTCACTGTGCTTTAGATGTGACTATTTCATTATAATAGCTAAATATCTTGTAGCTTAAAGTCCGATTGTAATAAATGCATAAAAGAAAGTCCAGCAAAATTATATTATATACCAATGAAGAGAAAAATCTGTTTTAAAAGCTGAACTGTATCGCTTCTATGTGCCTGTATTCATAGTTTTCAGATGTATGACTGTGTTTTATGTAAACGTGCTGAGCTTGTTCTCAGTTCATGGAGCTGCAGCTGATTTTTTTCACTGTCTCCTGTGGTTCTTGTACAACAGAAGTGCCTGGAAGATCTGCACAGCAGAGTGCAGCGTGTCTGCTCGAAGGCTGTCGAGGAGGATGAGGCTGCTGTACAGAAGCTGCGGGAAACTTTGAAGAACTTCGTGTCCAAGGCCAACAATTTATAAAGAGAAGCAGCAGGGTGGAGATGATTTCAAGAACATCAGAAGTGTGGATTTACCCCTCATTTGTTTTTTTTATAATTTTTCATTCTGCAAAAAAGAAAACTGATTTTCACGTGTTTGTTCTTAACTTTTCTATATCTTACAACCTGACATTAACGTTATTTTAAAATCTGGTTCCATATAAATAGACTTGTACCCTGTCAGTTTTCTGTGTGTTAATTTGTGATTACATCAGTGTGTTTTTGTTGTCACAGACACATTGTAAATACAGATCGGTTGCAGTAAGATGGAAGTTTGTAAGTAGTTGAGCCTGGATTTCTATGTGTTTGTATGCATTCTGTATTTAAACAATTTTCTGTTTGTGTTTTTATATAATGCTTAATAAAAGTTTGTTTAAAACCTTCCAAGTTGTGTTTTGCAGTGTTAATGTTTTCATGTAATGGAACTAATTTTGGGCCATTTTCGTCCAACACCAAAAAAAAAAAAAAGCATTTAAAAGTTTAGTAATCTCTAAACCTCCTGAGTCCATTTTCACTGTATTTAATAGACAGTTGTGTTGTCCTGAAGCCACTAGAAGGCAGCACACACCACTGGCTGCTGAAGCTCTTTAGGTTGGCAGCAGGCTGATAGAAACATGAATATGATGTTTCTGTTTTGCTCAGTACATGTTTTAATCTCTCTTTTCTCCCTTCTTCTTTAAGCTCCTCTAAACTTCTGGACACATCTTGTTTGATTGCAGAGGGGAGTCAGCAGCAACCAGTACCACCAGTTCTAATTGTGCGGCTGTAGTCAACACAACACTCGTACAGCACCACTATCAGTCCAAAGTGGTAAGTTTGAGCCTTTAAACTAAGCTGATTGTCTTACTCACTTTTTCTCTCCTTTGTTTATTCGGTCTTCATGAAATGTGTTTCCGACCCATTTATGAATTCAACTTCTGTGAAATATTGCTTCGGGCAATTACTGGTTAACGGAGAACCAGCAGGCATAGTTTCCACTTGTGTCAGTCTCATCCTATTTTTACCAAAGCACATTAAAGCATTTAACTTCCACATATCAGCCAAAACCCATAAAACTTGACTGACTCATTAGTAAATGAGACGTTTATTTTTAAAGTTTGAATTTTTTTCTGCCCTTCTGGCAGGAACATTTATTGCAAATCATTTCACCGAGGCGAAGCTGGCAGCGAGGACACAAACAGGAAGTGGTACATATTTCTCCACAATGCTTTCTCCAGTTATGGTCAACATAGCTTATTGTACCTGTTTCCAATGAACTCTGCATACTTGGCGTCCAGTATTAGTATTTTTTCTTCTTTTTGCATCTATATTCAGTCCAGAGATTCAATCCAGATATCCTGTGGCGATCAGCGTACTATTCTGATTCTGTTTTTTTTTTTTTTTTTAAATAGTTTGAGAAGCTTTAAATCTTTCTGTATGTTGTAATATCAGCCCCGATCCAGCGTTTGTCAAACCGACGCTTCAGGGTTCACACACCCAGAGGACCTTTTTAAAATAAAGATGTCTGTTTTCTAATTCAGCTTCCTTTGTTGGACACAGTGGTGTTGATTTATGATTTCACAGAAGAGCATCTCTTTCCAATTCCCGCATGTTGTTCCACTTTAAAGGGAGCATCCACCCTAAACCTGTTCAAATTAGATGTGTCGCTGCTGGGTTCAAGTGGTTTTCTAGTAACAATGTGAATGATTTGAGGCAAAAATATACAGAGGATCATTTCATAGCAGCAAAAAGAAGAACAGTAAGCATGACCTTCGGTAAGTGTGCTCAGAGTTGCTGTGGTTTTTTTTTAACTTAATGGCTCAAGTATAGCTGCAGAAAAACAGGTGTGTTAAGTGAGATTTGTTGCTCTTTTAACCTTTTGTAAAGCAGCCTTTGTTGGAAATGTAATAAGAAACCAAATCAGAAGGAATGAATTCAGATAATCGATCAACTGTTTCAGTCACTTTTAAGCCAAAAGGACATTTGCTGTGGCCTCTCAGATGTAAGGATTTGCTGAACTGAATATCTTTAGATTGTTGAGAGCTTGGGAAAATATCACAGAATCAGTTAATTAAGAAAACACTCAGCAGATAAATCAGCAATGAGAATAATTGCTGCAATCCGCAGTTTGTTTTCTAAATCCTCCAACAGCAAGTGTTTCTAGCAGCTCTTAAAGCGTAATCCTGGGATGCGGGGTGGCGGCCGAACCCTAAAACTCCACATCGCGTCAATGCGGCGAGGACGTTTTCACAGAGGACCCGTCAGTGCTGCAAGCGTGAGAGAAATGTTTTGGCAGATGTGATGAGGAGAGATGAGGTGATTGTGAGGGGCTCCATGGAGAGAGAGAAAGAGAGAGAGAGAGGGAATGAATAATGTGATGGATAACTTCCACCACTAGAAGAAACAACCCTGGACTCTGTGTGTGTGTGTGTGTGTGTGTGTGTGTGTGTGTTGGGTGGGGAGGCTGTGCAGGAAGGAAAGGAGAGAGGCCGGTGCCATGTGTTAACAGCTACAAAGACTTAATTCAACTAAACAGGACAGAGCTCGGTGTGTTTATCGGATCCCATATGGACAGGTGGCATCCATAAAAGCCATTTTACAAGACCTGTCTTTGCATGTATGAGAAAATGAATGTCCTGATTTGCCGTGCCCTCGGGAGCATGTGCACGGCGGCCAACGTGTATGCGTGTGCAGGGATTTGCGTGCATATATCTGTGTTTGTGTTTTTATGCTTTTTTTCCCCTTTTTTTACATGATATGCGGTTATTTCTTGAGTGTGTGTGTGTTCTCCCGTGTCGCCCGTGGCCTTCAGCCTGTTTGATCCCGTCATGGATCATTGCGCTCAAAGACGCAAATGCACCATAAATTCTTAATACACTGTATGTTCCTGCTCTCACACAGGGGAAGTCGGGATGACCTGGCTGAGGGCACGGGGCTTAACTCTTGCAGGGACTGTAGCTCTCGTGGGGCCTCTGACAAGAAGGCCGATGTGAGGAGGACGGTGTGGGATGGGAGGCAAAAAAAATAAAAAGCTAAAATGCAAAGGTTATCTTCATCCCTGACCTGGAGAAGGTGTGTGTTGTTGCTTCGCCGTGCACCGCGAGGCTTTCAGCAGCTAATTCATCATAGCAGAGACGGGCAGACACAGTAGAGCAGTGAGGCGTTAATGTGGAGTCTTATTAGGGGTTAATCTCACCCGTCCGCCACTAGAATAATCTGTTCTACAGATGTGGGAAAAGAGGGGCAGAGAGAGAAGGGAAGATAAAGGGAGAGAGAGCAAGTTTGGTCTTATAATTCAGCCGTGCTCTCGTATTTTCTTTCTCCCAGCTCCCTGTCAAAACACCATTGTGTAGCTAAAATCTGTCTTCCTTAGACCTACATTATGACTAGCTCTGGCATTTTGATTTCTGTTCCAGCAACTAATTGTCTCCAGATTTGGAAGACAAATCAACTTCTGCTATGGCTGTGTGGCAAACACACGCAGAAATGACGCAACTGTTGTAACAAGACTCAGATTTGAAAAGCTTTCCTGCCTATCGCAGTTATTAATACCAATAACACAAACAATTCATTATGTGTCCGTCTGTGGCTGTCAGATATTCGCTTTACCATGTGCAACATTTGCTTTTCGCAAAGTGCTTGTTTGAGCTGATTTTAATGTGTTTGTGATGAGTTGAAGAAACTTGCAGGGTTTCCAGCTGGAGAGTCTCGGTTAAGGTTACATGGATTTGAAATGAATTATAGATGAGTGCTTACAGACAGACGTCGAAGTAATGTGGATCAGACAGCTTTGTGTGCGAAACAGCCAAACGCATAACACAAGATGCGGTACATCATGTCGAATCAACTCTGGTAACGTCTGCGTACTTAAGAAAACATTTTTTCTACATGAGCAGGTGTGCGTATTTCTGTCTCGTGTGATTCCTCAGCTCTGGTCTTAGCGTCAAATCGAGCAGTTTCCACTTTTGTCATCATTTATCAGTGGTTTTTAAAAATTGTTTGGCGTTGAATATCCCTGTTGGAGGTAACCAGGTACATTTACATGCATTACAAACATAATACTGAGTATACTGCGTTTAAGCACTGTTGATTCTACGCACATGTCACGTTTATTTTAACCTGTGAACCTGTCTTGTTATGTTCTGTGTTGCTCTAGAGCAGTGGTTCTCAAACTTTTTAAGCCACGACCCCCAAGATAACATAAGTTTGTGTTCGTGACTCCCCAGTTTGAATTTTGAATATATCATGAGTAATAACTTTGTTGTTCATGCACTAATGCGTTAAAAATTAATGTGTTAATACCACAGATTAGTCTCTTTACATTAACACGTTAATTTTCTTTTGAATGAATGAATGAATTTAATTTATTTTGAACAAATTAAACGGGAAAAAAACACAAAAACAAAAGAAAATAATTTTAAAAAGAGCAAAAAAGAAGAATATTATCGCATAATCAAATCATAATATTAACAAGTCTGAAGAAGTATACACTGAAGTAGAAGTATACATTGACAGCCCTAATACAACTTTATTTGATAAATGGATGCTTTATTTTTATTTGTGTTTTTTTTACAATGATCTGGTGACCCCCTGATATTATCTTGGGGCCCCCATTTTGAGATCCACTGCTCTAGCGGACAAGTCTAAGGAAATAACCCAGATGATGTCATTCGGTTTATCTAAAATCTGACCTTGAGACTACAAATTCAGTTCAGAAGGTCTAAATTACACATTGAGATGTGGAGTTTAGAAAGTGCCAAAAAGATCAACCCTTATAGGAACTGTAGGATCTCATGTTTCTGGAGGTTGACTGGTACAGGACACTGAAAGTCGGGACATCTCAGTTTCTTTTTCAAACTGTCTCTTATTAGTTCAGATTTATATGGCACTTCTCAGAGTGGCTTCACACTGTCAGTATTCATTCACACACATTCATTCCGGTGGTGGTAGCTACGATTGTAGTCACAGCTGCCCTGGGGCAGACTGACAGAGGCGTGGCTGCCATTCTGCCCCTCTGACCACCACCTCAAACAATCCATTCATACACATTCACACCAGGCAACATGGGTGAAGTGTCTTGCCCAACGACCATGACACAGGTTACAGGGTGGAATCAAACCGCCAACCTTCTGATCATTGACTGACTCGTTCTACCACCTGAGACACAGCTGCCCTTCTTTATATGTACTTCTTAAACAAAACTTAGCTCTCAGTGCTGTACAACAGTGATGAGAAATCATTGCGGCACACAGACAGCCCTTCACTCATGTCTTGTGCAGGCTTAAGTAGCATAAAGTGGCTCCTGTCATCACGAGTGTGTCATGACAGGAGTCGACAGCGGTTGTCATGGGCTCCACAACTGCAAATCCATATGCAT